CCCCAAAACCCCAAAACCCCAAAACCCCAAAACCCCAAAACCCCATCTTAAGCTTTACTCATTGAGATATCAGATTATCTAAAAATCAGCTAAAATATATAACTTCCATCACAAATTTGGATGGTCCTACTCATAGAAATTTTTCTCAGCTTAATTTGGATATTTATCAAGATTTTATGACAAAAAATAGACAAAATTATAGCACAAAGGCTGACGAATTGTTTAATATAAGCTTGAATTCCTCTATCTCATTACCCAGTGATGGTATTTAAGCTCCTATCATTGCTAAGAGATTTAGTACTGCTATAATACCCTGCATAGTGAGAAGGACTTTTAGAGCTCAATTTCTTGCTTGAGTACCTACTCATGTTTGAATCTAAATTAGAGTTGCTCAAGTGCCTTTTGAAGGTATATCTCATACCAAGATTCTTTTTCTCTCTTTGCTCCTTGTATCTATCAATTACCTCTTTAAGCATTTCTCCTCTTTCTTCTAATCTGAGTAAGATCTGTTTGTAGAGAGCTTCTTTGTTATAAATGTATTGTATTCTTGTAAAAACATTCCATTGCTGATCATCAACACCAAATTCAAATGTTCTGTAGTTCACATCTTGGTTTTTGAGTGCTGAAAGTACAGAGATAGTATGAGAACTACCTATCTGAGTTTTGGAAAATCCACTTTCCTTCCTGTAGAAAGAGATTTTGATATTTTTATTTGAGTTGCTAGAGTTCTGATCAAACTTCATCTTTCATATCTTGCTCCAAACATACTGTCCATTTTCTTCAATATAATCCTTAGAGTTAAATTTAAAGATGTCATCTGGCTTATCGATATCATTGGTTAACTTCATGATCTCAACAACTGGAGTATATTTAGGTTTCACTTTATTGTGGTTCTTGTTCCATGCTGATATCACTTCTATAACAAGAGTAGCAGATTTGTCTTCTTCAATAGCTTCGTAGTCGTGAGGTCCAGACTCTTTACCTTCTTGAGGCTCTTTAATTTTTCGGTACAGCTTACTATATTTCTCCTTTTCAGTATTATTTATCTTCAATTTCTCTGTATATTCTGAAATCTTCTCTCGATAAAACTTATTATTGTTCAAAACAGGAAGTGTATGTAAATTCAAGAGTTTTGAAAGCTCTCTATTTGTGCTGATCGGGTGGAAGTATTTGTTATTCATGATACTTGACTCCGGAGGTGTATACTTCGAACTATCAGATCCTATAAAAGTAAATCATAGTATTCAAAATCTCAATCAGCTTTTGATTATATCCATAAATGATCTATAAAAGACACCCTAATCCTTCAAAATTTAAAGTTTTGAGCTTTTGAGTCTTTAAATTTTGATTTAATAGGGATAGGCTTGATATTAATAAAATGGGAGCATCAAAAGCTGCATCATTATCGAGTAATGCTTTAAAATCAGATTTATTTTAAGTTAAAGAAACACCAACTTACTAATTTACATTGGTTGTACTATGATTTTAGAATATAGTTTGTTCAAACAACGAAAATTTTGCTAATGTTTACTATAAAGTACCTATCAAAGTTGATTCGAGTTAATACTATTAAAGATAATTCTTGCTTACTTCCAGGTCTTCCTTGGTACCCATGAAAATATGGTGCATCATTTTCGGAGCTCCCAAATGACTCGTATAGTGCTCTACTTCTATAAAGCAGTGTTATGATCAATTATTCATGAGCCAAGGAGTTACTATAGTAAATGAAGGAACTAGCTTAGCTTTTTTCTAAAAAAGGTGCTAATTTGTTAAAATTACTGAGAATATTTATCTTTATGGGAATAAAGAACAAACTTACTTAGATGATATAGAATCAAGATCGCCTCTTCTCTTGCCTAGCCCTCATGATGAGAATCAGAGATTGTTGCCCATTTCAATAATGTTTTATTATAAAGGGGTTTTGGGGTTTTGGGGTTTTGGGGTTTTGGGG